CAATAAAAGTCTTATATAAGTAAAACAAAATCAACTATATTTAAACTATATTAAAAGGAAATTTTTAATTTCTGTAAAAGTACACAGACTGAGAGTAACAAATTAAACTTTATTATAAAGTCTATTAAATATGTTTATCTGATCGACTCCAAAAATTTTATTCTTAGCATAACATCACTACAAATTTGCCATAGCATTGAAAAAATTTATCAATACAACGTGAGATAGACACAGTAATAACACTTTTCGCCTATGTAATTCAACATCCTAACTCCATATCATATATATACACTTTCTATGTGAATATTCGACTTTGCCATCCAGAAAAAATAGATTTTTACGAAGGTACTCCTTTGATAGTCTATCAGATTGTTCATCGGTAAGACAAAAGACCTATTAGTTTAGATTCTTCCATCTTAGGGTTCCTTGCAAGGAATATGTTAGCAAAACATTTGAGGTACAAAAAAAGCTATATGATGCCCTACCACTGCCACTGCAACTGCAACTGACCAACCATATAAAAACAATATTATCTAATAGTATATATTACAATACAACATGCTGATCCAATTCTTACGTATACTAAAATGGTTCATTTTATTTCACAAATATTAAGTTCCATTCTAAATATTAAACTGCACATATAGTACATAACATATAACATATATCAACTTAATTTTAAATGAATTGAACACCCTGTATTTACATAATTTAAATTATGTTATTATTCACTATTCAGCAATGTTAGTGGTTTTAGTAGGTTCAGATACATTTCTAAGATTGATATATACAACTTAACATTTTAAAGACAAGTGTTTACATTTTATTAATAAAATTATAATTATTCTTCTATAGACAATGACTTTGACCTAAAATATCTATTTTCTAATTTTAAACATTTTATTTTATAGTTTGAGAAATTATAAGATAATTTAACATTTTTATATGCCAAATTATAGAAATTATATTTCGACAATTCACTTTAATATGCAATAAATAAATCTATATAATATTTTTCTATCCAGGCTAGAAAAACATAAATAATATAAATTAGTATTTATTATATTGTTTAAAATTCATATAGAGTAAATGGGATTATAATTGACGTACATGACAACTATAGACAAAATGTCAATAGCCATACATATATATACTTTGCAATTTAAAACCGATAGCAGTCATAAACTATCTGATACTGACTAATTTTAAAAAATCGAGAGATAGCTTTTGCGTAAATGCCAAGATTAATAGAAAACTTCCTTCACTTGCATTAACATGTTTCGTTGTATCATAGTACGATCCTAGTGATCATATTACTTAGTAATATACTTAAAGATTATGTTATGTCAGGTTAACTGGGTGAAAGCTATACGTAGACCTATGGTCTGGCGATATCAGATATAATTAAACCTCTATGAAAATGTTGTGGGGATCATTTATTGTGAACTTATGAGATATATTTAAAATTTTATTACTCAGACAAAACCATTACGCATTATTACCATTATTTTTTTGAGATCAAACTTTAATGGGATGTTACCCTAGACCCAGTGTGCCGGTTAATTTTATTTATAACGTCATTAGTTTCGGGTTGCCTTCCCAATTTCAAAATCTCTAGTTCAGTACACTTAAGTGTAATTGTGAAGAGATTACTATGGTACAGTAGGAATAATAAAAACCCCTGATATATAATAATTAGGTCAAGGTATTATTATTTTTTTTAACAAATATGAAAGTTATTAGAAATATCTAAATAAAAAATTAAATAAAAATAAATAAATAAGAAGAAGATAAGATTTAGCGAAAATATTAAAATGAGGAAACTTTTACTACGCTTTGCTTAGACTATTGTATTTAACTTAATAAATATGCAGCAATATGTGCTATTTTTCATACAGAGTCCATAGCAAATTCATATACAAATGTGCTAAAGCGGTTGGATAAGTCTAAGTGTAAACACAGTATAAATTTTTATTTAAATATGTCCTTGCACTACCCACAGTTAATAATTCTGTCTGAATTAGAAAATATATTTATAATTGAATGCTAAACATTTACAAATATATGCATTAAATATATTAAAACTTTAAATTTTTTTTATTTAATATGTTAAACAAACAATATATATGATGACATAAGTGTATTAATTTTTCAAGTTTAATTAGAGGTGAAATACGTGTCATGGTGCAAGAAAACTACAAAACTTCAAGCAGTGTCTCTACGGTACTGAAAAATTTAGAAAATGTTAATAGGGCTTATACTATATAACATGAAGATATATTAATTCAAGTATTCAAATTCAGGTAAACTCATTGTTTCGTTTAAATTTGCATTATCCACATTGTTACACTCAGTATTAATTTCTCTATTTGGTTGAGTGGAATTACGTTTTGAAAAATTATTATTAGGCTTCGATAGGTTTACTTTTTGGATTGTTTGGATTGGCTGTGAGTTTCGGCTTTCTAAATATTGTTGATTCATTTTCGGAAAATTAATAAAAAAATCATAGAAATTTTTTAAAGTATGATATGTTAATACATAACCCAGTTTAATTATAGACATAATACTAAAGCCCAAAAATAATGCTAAAGCACCACCGAATGAAACTGTAAAATTTCGTTTAATAAACTGATGATTATTTTTGATAATACAATTATACCTAATAAGTCTTCTAAGCCAAATACCACATCTCTGCGAAAACGCACTTTTGGTGGTATAAGATCCCAACGAAAACTGGAAGTTGCTGAGTCACTTTTAGAACCATCCTCGTTAGCTTTTATTCCCCTTAATGATTATTTTAGATTAATTTATTCATTAATGCTTTTTATTTAAAGTTACCAGGAGCTCTTCTTGACAGTTTGTACGGTGTATTCAATTTCAGCACAAGTGCTTGGACATTTGCAAATATGTAAAGCCCATATTGGCCACTTAAAATCTAGTAGACATTCGAAACCTGCGGGACTGCAACTAGGTCCTTCTACAACAAACTTTATAACACATCCAATTTATAATTGTATTAAGATCATTAATATACTTGCCCACAAAAGGATAAAAGAATGGCACGCAGTTGCACATTTCTAAAGCCATAACAGCACGACATCGTACTAGGCAAAGGGTTTTACTGTAAACCTATAAAAAGATTATTATTAAATACTGACTATATACTGTGAATTATAATCTTACTTTAAGTTGTGATGTTTCTTCATCATAAAATACACATTTTCTTTGTTCCACATTCAAAGCTCTTAAATTAGCTGAAGCACTAAGAAGAATTGTTATACCTTTACTAACTTCTTTTTAGACCTTATCGTAAAAAGTACTTACACTGTTTCATGTACCTTATACGAAGCGATTATTTCATCTGATTTATGTAAAGAAATTACACTAGCATCGGTAGCTGATACTTCAAGTGGCGAATGTACATCGATCTGTAAAATACCATTATGTTAAGAAATTCAAAGATATGTATTAAAAATATTTTAAATTTGTATAAATACCGTCCCAGTACTTTCAAAAAGATCCATTTTTATATAGCACTGCTGTTTACCGTACTGACAAGTTAGTGGTTGCCTTAAATCCTTATAAGTTATTTTACTATAATTAAGAAATTAATGAATAGTTTTACGATGTAATTAATCTCTAACAAAAGTTATCTACTTATATCGCACCTGCCGGTTAAAATCTTTGACATTGGCGAGTTTATAGCATAACATAGTCCACGTTCTGTCATAACTGGTAACACCTGTATTTCGAAATTAGCATCAAAACTGCTTAGTACCTGTTCAAATGGTTTATCTATAGCATGTATTAAGTCTAACAGATTCACTTCATCGAATCTCTCATTTTCTGCGAATCGTGCGAGATCCACATAGTTTGCAGCAGTAGCATTTACCACTGCATACAAAAAATCCATATAATAAAAATAGTCTTCGTCGACTATAGACACGTTCCAAACATTTTGTATATATTCATTTGCTTTGTAGGCATCCACATGATCATAATAACAAAGCGTCACTGCCGGCAGCATTCCAGTCCAACCACGATAATCTCGATCCACGGAAACAACAGTCGGAGAGGTAACATAACGCAAAAATTGTAAACTGCTAACATTAATCACATAATATATACAAATCACTATCATCACAAACCATAGACCTCTGAAATCATATTATACGTTACAGTTATGCTCGTAATTTTATATTGTAAAAGGTAAACAAATGCGGGCTATATATAATAAACATATTTCGTATAAATAAATTTTAAATAGTCCTTTATTATATTTTTCTTTAAAACTAACCGCTTCTGCTATTCTTTAAATATTCGCTTTTGGAACACTAAGTTTTAACCACATTTTCACATACCACTTCACTTAATTGACCAGTAGCAAGAACAATGTTGGTTTTATGGTTTACTGCATAAGCCGATGATTTAACATTTACCTAAAGAAAGAAGTAGTGTCATTCAATCATATCTCCAGACCGCAAAAATTATTCTTTCGTGAACACTGTATGAGTTTGCTTTACTCCATATACAACGATTTTGCTTTACTCCATGTGCAACGATTTTGCATTTATCCAGGAATTAATTATTTATCTACAGATCATTTTCTCAAGAAATAATGGATCTGCTTCAACTGCTCTAAAAACTTGTCATAGCAGATTGCAGATATTGATCTAAGCAATAAATAGTCAGTCAAAATATTCTACATGGTGCAAAAAGAAGTTAGTCCATGTAGAATATGAAGAACGACGCCTAATTGAATATTTTCGATTTTCTTCTTCAACGGATTTAATTCTTAACATAAAAAATTCACACATTAATCTTATCTAGCCTATCTAGATTAATTATCTTAACCATAAATTTTACAAAATGCCTAAATTCTGCCTGAAAATTTTTTTTAATTTTTTTAAATTTTATTAGATATAACTGACACATAGCTGGTAGTAGCTCCCCTATAATTTAGCGGATGTCCATTTTCAAATCATCAATAGTCTAAGAGTTATCTTATTTTAATTTAGCAAATTTAATATTGAATATTTTTATAGTACCATTCTGTTCTACAACCATATCCTTAGTTTCACCTAAAGAAATGGTAATTATGGAGCCACAAACCAGATAACCATTTACATATACGTATATAGAGTTCTGGATTTTGTCAAGGTAACTTTTTATATATTGAATTTTATTATTTTATTATTATTTTACATAAAATATTTAAATTGCTAGTTACAGTATTAAATATATTCACATTGTCAGCATAATATAGTTATAGTACTTATAATACATAACTTAACTGATCTTAAGTAAACTTAAATCTAATTAAGTATTAAAAATTTGCTAGTTATTCTAAAAATTCTAAATTTAATAAGAAAGGGGACAGAAAAATGATACTGAAAGAATTTACTAATAAATAAATTTTTGTTAGATCTAACATGGATCTATCATTTATTTCGCTAGAGGAAATTTAAAATCGCGATTATATGTGAAACTTAAGATTAAAAATACTGACGAAGTTGTTAAGCTATTATTACTTAGAAATTAATGTAATATTTGAAAGTAAATCACAAATTAAATTACCTCTCGAAGATATGCAAACTTCTGTTAGCTATTAGCGTTATGGCTAAGATTCCAGTTTCCCGACCGGCATCTATTGCAAATAAATATGCTTTTTCTCGAAACCATATGTAGAACACCTTAACCACATAATAAAAATTTCGCAAATTATGTAGAAGTTTTATTATAAATAATTTCAACAATTGATATATATGGTGCAATATATTTCCGCAACGGACCATATTAACCCACGAATTCGAGTAGTAGTAATAACTGCTTGCTTCACAACTCTATGGATAAATGTGTAAGGATAAAATATTCATAAGCGTGAAGAAGAATAAAACAAAATATAACAAAGAATTACAAAATCCATTAAGATTGTACATTTAGTTAAGGAATAATATTTATTGATATATTATCGTTCATTGTTAAATTTTACTATAAGAATAAAAACTATAAATTAGTACTGATGTCATTCAGGTTGTTCTATTCACTAAAAGGCCGACCAAGGATTCATTGCTTAAATCCATTTGTATTAAAAAAATTATGCAAGTAGCTAACGCTGCCGCTATCTGTAATGATGGGTAGGATGACTATAATGGAGGGAAAAGTTGAAGAAAAACTTACTGCGCCTAAAATCAATAGATCTAAATCAATAATACCACAGGCGGTAGGAGTTTGCTTTTGCATATTCTGTAATAGAAATTTATTGATAATATGTTCCAAACGTACATCATTCGGCAGCATTTTGCTTAGTATAAAACTAGTTTCACATTTCTGCAAATTGAAAATCAAACAAAATGGATTATATATATTAAAATATTTAACTTTTACCTCATATATGATAGCATGATTCATATTTAGAATGAATAAAATACGACCAGAATGCAAAATAAGCCATAATATTTCATACACAAATAGTGCTGTTGTGTGCTGTTCTGGTCTATCAAAGAATTTATAGACTGCATAATATTCGATTGATAAGTCCAGAAATGATGCTACCATATTAAGCAATAATATTAATTCAAAAAATTTGTTGAATTCAAATAATAAAGCATTTAATTTAGAATAAATATTATGCATATTTTTCAGAATCTCAAACGAAGTCCGCCTTTCTTGCCTATAGCTTGAAAATTCTGTCTTCAGCCAAGCGGTTAAATCTAAATTATATAAATGCAATCCAATTGACGTCACAACTTTATTAGGTGTAGCTTCTGCAATCGTTTGCAATATCTTATTTATTTGCTGATGAAGTAGACATATAAAACGCATAACAAATGAATATTGCAACAAATTTAGCGATATCATAATATTGGGTAATATATAAGCACCCGAGCTACGTATAGCACATAACACCCTGCGATTGCTATAGAAGAAATCCGTCACAAAACAGCAGATTACAAAAGGTAATATAAACCACAATAAAATCTTTAGTTCATTATATATTTTCCGAAATACTGTAGGACCTCCATAAAATACATTATAGAAGGTGTTCAACTGTTTGTTTATATCTAATAGTTTTCTTGGTACACTCTGATATTGTTCGACATAGTAATAAGAACTTACTACAATGCAAGTAACTATGCCACAATTGGTAATGAATTCACTTAAGTACAAGATCTTTTCCACAGTGAAATATTCTCTCAATGATGTAGCCTGTAAATAGCTTACTACATATATATAACACAAAATAATGCCACACCAAATCTTATGTGAACGCACAATAAGGCTTTTCTGTTTGCTCTTCCAATTGAGAGGAGGCGTTACACAGAATAGTTGACACACCAGTAAATGTTTACTTAGTAAAAGAATCGGACGGCTTTTAGGTATTCCTTTCTTGACCATTTCTATATCATTAAAATATTCACACCAATTTACTAGATATTAAATACCACCATAATATGGAAATAAAATTAATTAATTTTTAACTGCCGAGATACGAGCGTCAAACATCCTAAAGTTTTGATTAATGATGGTTTGAAAATGAATGAGACAATTAAATTATTTTCTTTTCCGTAAGTAAAAGTTAGTACCGGTTTTGTATAAAAAAGTATTTAATTTCCTTAATAAATAATTCAGTTTTTTTATTCATTATTCACTCATTGGTCCCACAAAATTTCAATAAAACTTAACTATTCCATAATTAAAACGCATTATTAAAGACAGGGTTGCAATTGATTTATGCATCGTTATAAAGCCTACTGCATAAGTGAGATTAATGCTAGCGGTGCATATTTGATTTTAGCTGTACTGTGTACTAAATGGTGGTTAAAAAATTATAAAAACTGGACATTTAATAGAAGGGTATTTTTAAAAATAATTTTAGGGTTTTAAAAATTGTTTTTAAAAAATATTTTTCTCCATTCAAACTATGATACCATAACTGAAACGAGTACAGCCAGGATCTCACCAAAAATGAATATCTTAAACAGGCGGGATTAAGGGACCCAGCCCCACAATATATGGTAAAAACACTGCCAAGAAAAATATTTTCTAGTATATCTACCACGGGCAAAATGCTGTAGCGAATTTCACTGTCTATAAAAAAAAGTTCAATTAACATATATATATAACTGTGTATATGCTTATACATGTAATATTAAAATAAATATTAAATTTTTTTTATCATATACTAAAAAAAATTATGTACTGACGTCAAGGAATATGTATTTAACTTAAACCATACCTATGGCTACAGTATTGAAAGACGTATGAAGTATTTTTATTAAAAAATATATGTAATTATGTATATTTTAAAAAAATACGTCAGAAAGTATTAATTATTTAATATTAATATGTATATTTAGAAAAAAAATCATATTCAAAGAGAACTATTGTTTAAACAACAAGTAAACGAAAATTCAATCCCTCTAAAACCCACTAAAACCATCTCTTCGGAATGAATATGGAATATTACAGCCGCGTCCAGGGGATACAACCCCATTCCAGTAATCAAGAGAGAGAGATTAGAGCAAGAGGCTTAATACTTAGTGGGCTATGTCCATCTAAGCTAGAAAGTAAAATCAATCCTAAATGATTTAATGTAATATATATGTAGTTTTATGACAGCAATTGTGATTGAAATATTTATATTTTTTGTATACGTTATCCTTACGATTTTATTTACTGTTTTCAGTCCAGTTAAGCAACACTTTTTTATTATTATTTTTTGTTTTCTTTTTATTATATATACTGAGCTTTTTTTATTGCTAATAACTGAAAATCAAAAAATTTTAATTCTTGGGAGGTGAAGACTATGCGGCTTTAATATCAACAAGTGGAAACGATTTATTTATTGGACTAAGTCTCTAGAATAATGGTAATAACAATGGTTTATACTCATAGATAGGCCAGAAATTTACTCCGAGGCGAATCCTGGATAATTACAATAATTAAAAAATTTTATTCATGATCTTATTAAACAATCATGATGCATTAATAATATATATACATATATATAAATACAGCTTTGCGATTTATTTTGGGCGGTGGAGTGTTGTACTTCAGCACCTTAAGACACATATGACTTCGTGCCTGCCTAATACACATTGTTTTTAATATTAATATTGTACTGAATTTTCCTTTTTATTTATTTATATATAACATATTACAAAGATATATGTGTTCATTGTCGTATATAGTTATTTCCTCTAGTTCTTTGTATTAATAGTAGTAGTTCCATTTTGGTACGTTCCTATCAGAGATTCGTTTCCCAAATCAATTTGTATTAAAAATATTGTATAAATGGCTAAAGCATTCGTTATCTATAAGAAATAAAAGTTCATTTTGTGAATATATTTCGAATTTAATTCATACTTACACCACCTAAGAAAATTAGATTCAAATCAAAAATACCACACACTGACTGGTTTGGGTTTTGGACTAACAATTGAAGAAGAAATCTATTTACAATGTGTTCCATTTTCTTTGAATATACAGTTAACTGATTCAAAGTATAATAAGTAATACATTTCTGGGGGAAAAAAAATATTACAAGTATTATATATTATATTTGCAAGTATTATAAATAATACCACATACTTCAGCTATAACCCCATTATTCGGTATTAGTACAAAAAATATGCGTCCAGTATGTAATACAAGCCAAATGACTTTATAAAGGAATAAAGCCAAACCATATATATGGGGTTTATCGAAGAATTTATAAACCGCAAAATATTCAATTGCTAAGTCTAAGAACGAACCCAAAAAGTTCAATAGTATGACGAGTTCGTAAGCTGTTGTCACATTAGCCAAAATGTCATTCAAATCAGAGTAAACTCTACGCATTTTCTTTATAACTTCAAACTGCGATGATGAAAGTCTCTTGTTTCTTTTATTTATAGGATATTCAGTTTCATACCAATTATTAGTTATATCCCTACCGATAGTAGTTACACAAACATCCGTATTTATATTTAATCTCAAAGACCTAGGTTTGCTTGTATTCTGTAATATTTCATTCACACGTTTGTGTAGCAATTGTATAAAGCGCAACGCTAACCAATATTGACCCAAGCTTAATGAAATTATCAGATTTGGTACATTATACGCACTAGAACTACGAATAGATAATAAAATATTATAATCCGAATAGATAAGATCTATAGCACAGCAACAGAAAATAAAGCCACATATTGACCACACCAAGCAAAGTAACTCTGTATGCAGCACAATATATAACGCTCCCATATTACTGGATTGTTGAGGTAGATAAGACTGCAACTCTTTATAGATTTTTGATATTTTAATTGGTATTATTTTGTAGAATTCGGCATAGTAATATGCACTACTGACGGTACAAGTTATAATTATGCAGTTGGTCAAAAACTCACTGAGATATAAACCCTTTTCCACAGTTGTGTAGCTTGCTCTAATTGTGGAAGCTTGCATATAGTTTATAATGTATATATAAAGTAATATCGTCAAGCACCAAATATGATGTACACGCATGGATATGCTTGTAGGATTATTACTGTTCACAGTCAAAAGTGGTGTAACGCAAAAAAATTGACAAACCAAGATTAGTTTTTTTACAAGTCTCAAAAATTTATTGAACGCACCATTTCCGTCGGTTTCTTTATTTAACTTCGTAAGACTCATCTTCTAATATAAATTTATGTTAAAAGAATAATTCATTTTTGACATTTGACATACATTTTTATAGACGTTGGCTCTATTAGAATATAACCATTTAACATTATTCTCGATATTGTTGTATTTAATTGTCCAATTAAAGTGCATTTGAATATAAATTTCTATTAAAAATTAATTAATTTACTAATTAGTTTTTGTAATGAGTATGAATTTAAGAGATAATTAGTTATGAATTAATTGTTTAAGTATATCAACTTCTAGCTGTATATTAGTTGTAAATAAGCAATAATTAATTTACTTAGTGCAACAAATCCGAAGAGAACACTGGTTCTTCTCATTTTCATTTATTGTGGTTATTTTCACTGGTAAGTATTAAAATAAAAGATTTAAATTTTCTAATAAAGAGTGGACCAATTGAACTGTAATCAACCAACCTGTTAAAGCTTTCAAACTGGTGGCAAATATGCGTTTAAGTTGATGATTATTAGCTTTCCTTCCAAGAGTGGACATTGTTAGACCTCCCAAACATCTTAATCTGAACTAATCTTTCGTGTCCCAAGTCACAAAACTATAGTGAAACTGAATGTGACAATGTTAAAAAAACCACATTTGAGGTTCGGAAATTTGACGACCAAATTAAAATCCGCGCGGCTGGTCATTTGTGGATGACTAATGCAGCGAAACGACCTTGAAATGATACCTTACTGCTACATAACCGACAAGATTTCGTTCAATAAAACTAAGCTCCATAAAGCTGTAAC